GCAATGCAACCAGCCAAAAATACCACACCATCGGAGTTAATGAGGTGCCTGCACGCTTTTTTAACAAATGGGAATTAAAAAAAAAAAAAAAAAAAAAAAAAAAATCTCCTTTGTTTTTAATAAAGAGTAACAAATTTCTGCAACTGCCATGTTGTTGGGGTTGGTGGCTGCCTGCCTCAGTGAGATTTCTGAGTGTGTTCCTGGTGCTTTCTGCTGATGGGTCCCACAGGGAGCAGTGTGGTGGCATCTGTGACCTGCAGAGACAGCTGAAACAGAGCCCCAGTCCATCTTTAGCAAGTGCTGCTGGTAAAAAAGCTGAACCTTTTGGCCACGTAGCCAAAGGTAGTTTTGAGATCTGAAGTCACCATTTCATGCAATTTCAGTGTGTTAGACTGGGCTATAAATGGTTCTCTTTCCCTCCTATGCTTTGAGGAGCCTTTGTGTCTTCCCTAAATATGCCTGTGGCCTTTGATGGAAAAGCCTGTTTACAAGGTGCAGCATGCTGAGGTTGTTAGGCTGTCCAGGGTAATTTGGACATGCAGCAGATGTGAGGCAGGGTTTGTCTGAGGTAAAAATTCCTACTGAAAGGAGCTTCCCCTTGGCTTTAAATAAAGAAATATGTGGTAAACCTTTCTGCTGGAATAAAACTGGATGTTGGAGGAGCATTACAAGGCTTCTCCGGCAAAGGTAGGCAGCTAAACACCTGACTTTGAGAGAAACTATTTCAAAACAAAGGAAAAAATGCATTTCTAATCCCCAAAACATCTGCTTTAGGTGCTTGCCTTGAATGACATGCTGAAACTATGTCAAGAAAAAGAGGAGATTTTTAACTAACAGAACCATGAATATTCCTCCACATTACCTCCAGAATTCTTGAGTAAACAAAGCTAATCCAAAGACACAAAGGTAGATTTGCAAAGCAAATTTACCCTGGCAATACCCAGGTGTCACTCATTCCTGGGGAGATGAGGACAATCACCCCAAGCAGATTACCTGGGACCTGAGGCACTGCAGCACTGCCTCCAACGTCTGCCTTCTATTTTCTTACATGTCTTTTTATTTATTATTAAAGTGAGAATTTCTCAACCTCTCCCTGCAGAGTTGGTCAGCTTGTGATCTCTACCCGTGGTTTTTGTCTTTCTTTTTTCTTTTTTTTTTTTTTCCCATTTGTTTTCTTTTTAATAGCTCCTTCCTTTACAGAAAGAATCACATCTTTTCCTTAACATAATAATAAGAACCTCACTGCTTGCACATTAAAAGCTGGCTGCCAAACAGGCTTTTGTAGCTGCCCTACTGCAGTTACCAAGCTGAAGGCTTGAGCCCAAATTTGCAGTGGCAGGAAATGGGATGACTTTCTTCCTCAGAGTGGCTACTTCATGCCGGTTCCTTTCTCCACCAAAGCTCCCTTTTGTCCTCTGTCCTCCCAAAACACAAAAAAATCTCAGCTTTCCCAAGCTCTGGAAGAAATAGTAACTTCAGGGGAAATAAGGAGAATGTCTTCAGAGGCTTCATTTTATCATTCTCTGTGATGAGTTCCCAGCAGAACAGGAGTGGGTGGCTGGCCCCAGCAATTTTGATGTTTAGGAACAGCTCATCCCCACATTCTGCTCTCCCAAGGGTCCCCACCCACCCTGGACCATTGCAGGTAGCCACAATCAGAGCATCCCTCCTGCACATCCCTCTTTGCTTGCCAGGTCTCCAGCCCATTATGAATTGTATATAATATACAACAGCAGTCCAAAGACAGGGAGGTTTGAGTGTGGCCACAGGTAGGTCAGGGTTATTTTGGCTTTGTGGTGCATGAAGCAGATAGAGAAGTTTTGCTCTGTAGCATAAATTAACATGATCTTAAGGCAGCATTCATTTGCATTCAATGACACACCTTCTCAGGGAAACACTTTTCATACTAAGCATGTTTTGGGTGGCAAAGCTTGACTAGCACTGTATGCATGACTCTCAAGTTCAGATGCAGATGGGAAGATGCCGTCATCCCGGGAACAAGCCGGGAAAGTCTCCGCTGAGCCTACCCACAGTGAGACACGTCTTGCGGCTGCTCATTTCTGCAGCACGGCAGGAGAGATCACACTTATGGGGAGCCCGTGAGTCACTGCCTTCCACAGCTGAAGGGATTTCCTTGTCTCCTGAAATGAAAGGTCACTCTTTTGCTGGGCAGTTTTCCCCCCTGCCAGCCACAGCCTGGGAGGATCCTTTGCCTCTTCCCTCTCTGGTGCTCTCATAGGTGGTCTTGCAAAGAGCTTCCCTTTCCCACCAGCCCTCTGCAGGTCAGTGCCTTCCACCCGCATTAACCTCAGGAGAAAAGGTGTCTCCTGTGTCAGAGTCTGGGAATTACACATTCATTTCCCTCCTCTAACAGCACCTGGGCTCTGGTTTTGGGGCAATCTCCCAGTTTGACTGTGGTTCTTTCCCCAGCTGTAAAATGGGAAGAAAACGATTTCCTTCATCTGTTGCCTTTAGCCACAGCTACATCTTTACATTTTATCTATTTACAGTTCAAGCCAGAAAGCAGGATTGTTTCTGGAGCACCTGCAGGCTGTCTGGGCAGCCTGACCTCTTTGGGATAATTAACGAGGCCACCACAGAGCCGTCCATGTCAGCAGCTCCACTCAGGGCCTGCCAGCCTTCCTTTAGCACCAGTAGGAACTAATAATGCAGGGGGAGCCAAGGACTCTTCCTCTGGGGGAAGAAGTATAACCCAGCTGACTGCAAGATGAAAATTTACTGCAATATGAAGGGATCACCATGGAAACCTCTTTATTTTATTTCAGCCAATCTTTCTGCGCTGTCACAAGCAATATCACCTTCTCACTAGCCATAAAGAAAAGGTTCCCAGAGAGGTTTGTAATCCCTGCTGGCTGGCCAAGCCATCTGCCAGGAAGATGTGTGCTCTCCAGGAAAACCATTTTTTGGATGGTTCCTCTCCTCACCAGGTATGACTCCACCAGTAAAGGATAAGCCACTGCTCAGTCCTGCATTGCTCCTCCTGCAAGGATGGTAGATTTTAAATTTGAGAATAAGAACAGTGTTATGTCCCTGCCACCATTTCCTCCTGTCCCCCTTCCCCCATTTCCAAAGGATACTTCTTTTTTTGCCATGCATCTGGCCCTGAGCAGCAGCCTTTGAGGAGCTGCACATTTTGGATGACAGCTCCATCCATCAGCCATGCCCTAGTGCTGAACTGGCAGCCTTCGTGTGAGTAGGGAAGCAGGATAAGCCCAGCAGCTTCTCCTTGGAAAACCTAAAATGAGACTGAAGTCCCACCAAGTGAAGCTCCACTTGAATCTCGTTTGCAGGAACCTAAGACTTTGGAAAAAATGAAATAATCCATTTTGGCTTCAAGCTGTTTTTTTGGAGAAACTATGTCTGACTATGTCTGTCCAACAACTACTTCTCAGAAAACATGCTCTTTGCATTACCCATCCTAGTCCTGGGCCTGACACAACCAGCAGCTTCAAGCTCTGCATGTCTGAATGAGAAGAGCTTAGCTTCTGGAAGATCACCGTGACCCAAATTGGAGAGGGAGATAAATAGGTCAGACTTTTCGGACACTTAAGTGCATCACCTCTGAATTTCACTTATATCCTGCACAATGAAAATCTCAATTGCATTTACACTCATGGGTAAAAAGGCTTGAAAACACCACCCTGGTCATTCAGAAGTGCTCCTAAAATGCTCAGTGGTTTGAGGAACGCCGGTGCTGTCCGTGGGACATGTGGCAGCCTCGCGACGTTCTGTTTTCCCTCTGTGGATGCTTGGGACACCGTGAAAGTTCACTTGCCTTCAAGTGGAGCACAAACTCTGCTGGCAAGCCTCTTGCTCCAGAGAAGGTATTGCCCATTCTCTCCTCACACCTGGATGAGCACAAGCATCTATTTGCAAATGAGCAGCTTGCCAGAGCAGCTCCCATCCCCGAACTCTACCAGGTGGGCAGGTAATGGCCACCTCACCCTCGCGGGGTGCCCGCATTCCCCCACAGCGAGTGCTGTCCTGACTCCTGTCTCCTGGAGCTCCAGCTGATTGCTTTAGCCACAAGGCAGCTGCAGATCCCGGTGACCTGATTTGCCCCACCAAACACAAGTGCCTCCAGCAAGCAGGGCTTTGTCAGCAGGCACAGCACTCGAGCAGGGAGAAGGCTGTGATTAGCGAGCACCCCCCTGCCTCCCACTGCAAAACTGCCTTGCCTCCAATTACTTCATGCCAAGAAATAGCCTCTGATACACCCGAGGAAACAGAATCCCAAAGAGAGCTTGCCTGATGACAAAGCCCTCCCATACACTCGAAGAACAGCAGCTACTAAAGAAGCATCACCTTATCTTTTAGGCAAGGAAATACTATTTGCTAACTCTAAATATTCCCCAGGGAAAAAAAATGGCAGGGAGATTACAGCTCCAAAATGACCCTGGGCAGAAGAAATAGATGTTCTGAGCAATTGCATGGAGTGGCACATGCACCTTGAAAAGGGCACTAACAAAGAAATTTGCAGTGCATTCCAATGCTTTGGGAAAACCACACATTTTCAATATTTTTTTCCCCCCTGAATGAATAAATTACAATAGACACATTTAAACAAAATCAACCTCCAAGCCAGCTTTCTTTCTGAGATTCAGGGCAAATGATCTCCTAAAGGACCAGCCTCACTAGCCATGCTTATGAAGCAGTAATTAAAGCAATCCCACGGGCAGGTGGAGCAGCTGGACACTCACACCTTGCTGAGAGGCATCTTTTCAGATGTACAAGAGGATTTTTCAGTTTGTATTTGCTAAATAGCAATTTGATAGCCCAACTCTTTATGATGGATCAGTCATCATGGTTTTGCAAGACAGGAATGTCCACCCACTGACTGAATAAATTTAGTCATCCTCATTCCCTATCAGCTCATCTTTAGCTGAGCTACAAGGTACAGCCCGGGACATTTCTAGATCTGCTTCCTTAAAAATCTCATTTCTCAGTACAAACACTGAAGCAAAGTAAGAATTTTCTACCTCTTTCCATCAGGAGCACATCCCAGGCCCATCCTGGCTGCCAGAGAGGAAGGATGGGGAGGAGAGATGAGTGAACAGAAAATGGTGGGATTCTCTGGAAAACGGCTCAGGAATTCCACCACCACTTCTGTTGCGGCAGTTTTAGGATGCTCCATTTGTCGCCTTCTCCTCGTCTGCCTCGTCTCCTTCAAGAGCTGGCTCCTCAGTGAAGGCCCATCTCCCAGCGTAGCTCCTGATGCAAGAACAGTCTGTTCTCAGGCAGGGCCATTCAGTACTTCAGCAATATAAATAACGAGATCTCACATCTATTTTTGACACTATGTTTTTGCGAAGGAAGCCAAGGAATAATTTTTCTGATGAGCTGCAGTTAAGTATTTTTGAGAAAACATTGTGATATCACTCACAGCAAACATCTGGTGGAAGAGTTCCTGCCTTAAAATATGGCAAGCATAGGCTTGTCGTAAGATCAAGGTGGGAAGATCTGCCCCCAAACCACTTTTCCAATGAAATAAACCTTTTAGGGATAGAAATACAAGTAAATCGATTTTAACAAAGAAACCCAAACAAGCCTTAACAAATCTGACATTTTCAGGAAACTGCAAATTTCCCTTGTCATTTTGTTTCAGAAATTTGTGGAATTTTGCATTTTGGCACCCATATATATGTTAGATTTTATTGCAATATCAGGTAGGAACTTTTTAAAATAAAAAATGAATACTGCAAAATGTGGACCAATGTAACCTTTTGGGAGATTCTGACATAAATTTGGATCAATGGATCTTGGAAAATTTTAAAATAATATTTTGACTCCCTGCTTTAATATGTGCTAAATGGTTTTCATATACATCAATCATTGTTCTACAGAGACTTCAGAAAGAGAAATCAGCAGAATGAAATAGAGCCATATAATGCATTTACTTACTACTGTACTTACACAGTGGATTTATAGTGCTGTTAGCATAAGCTTATTTTGCCATAGGTTTCTTTCTGCCTTAGAGTGTAGAAGTTCACTGGGAAACAACCTGAGGATAAAATAGGCAATAAAGCAATCCATAATAAAAATAAAATATTCAAAAGCACGCTTCAAAATCAGAAAGGATTGCATATATTCATGAGGCCTTCACACTTTTTTTTAAGATGGAAAAATGGCGGAAATGTTATTTGTTAAATGTTTTATTTTAAAAATATTTGCTAAATTATGCCATCACAGTTAATCTATCATTAGCAATCTGGATGCTATAAATATTAATAATTATTCTTCAATAAGTGAATTGGTAATTCAATAATTAATGGAAACCTTAATATGTATGAATATTTTCATCATTTTTTCCCATTTTTCCATCTGTCTGGCTGTCCTGCACAAAGATCCTGCAGAGCAGGTGAGCCAGAGCCCGAAGTGATGCATTTCCTGAGAGCAGGTACAAAGCACGTGATCTCAAATCTACTCCAAGGTGCCAACACACAGAAATGTTCACCTGTGCTCTTGACTTCAAGAGCAGCAGAGCTGCCCACGTGCCTTGGGAATTACTCCCGCTCTCGTAACGGGAAAAATTTGTCTGAAGTACAATTTTTGTGTGCAAGGGTCACAACCTCATACAAGAACTTGTCCAGAAGTGTGGAGGGGAGCATGCAAACACTGTGCATCCTTAGCAGCCACGTCCTTACTTTCAGTCTTGCCTTTGCTGCCCATTTAAGGGCCACTCCTGAGACAAAGCAGCTGAAAGCTCTCCAAGGGGCTCCTGGGTGAAGTGCTTGCTAAAGGGAGCTGACACAGAGGGCCTTCGAGTATTTTCCCAGTTCTCTTTTTTTCTGTCTCTTGCACATTCCAAGCATTGCAGTGCAGATCAAAGCCTCCAGATGGGTTGCTTTCCCTGAAAAGCCAACCCAACCGGTTTGGTTTCCCAGCTAAATTCATCTCAGGGGCTTACAAGGGGATTTGCAAACTATGAGGGGGAAATTTGTCAGCCTTCTTGTACCTACCTAGAATAGAAGAGGAAGAGACAAGGAAGCTCACAGAGCATATCAGGCCAGGGAGAATCTAAGAAAAGTGAACTCTGTCTCAACATTTTTCCAACACTGCCCCTTCCCATCTCCAGACAGCTTTCCCATGGATGCAAACCTTCAGGACCACCTTCAGGAGGAGCAGGTGCAGCAGTCCAGCACCTGCCAAGTGGGTCTAGACAGTGCCTGGGAAGCACTCCTTTCATTTATGAAGTGGAAAAAGCAGTACAAAGTTGTCCAGTACAAAGGTTATAAATTGCTGGCACCTTTCCCTCAGGAGACAGCCTCCTCTCCCATGCTGCCAATCAACCTTCTCCTTGTGCCTATCACATTTTCTCTCAGCTCATCCAACCAGACATGGAGGAACCCAGCTTGCACTTAGCATTGAGAGGTGCAGGTTTTATTGACAAGCTGTTTTTGCTCTCTGCTTGCAAGGCTCCTCTGTTTCCTCCTGCTGGCAGTGGCAGCCTGTTCAACTCACTGCCTGGTCCTTGCAGACCTTGTCTCACCCAGATCTTTAATCCAGCACAGTGGCAGCACTGCCACAAAGACTCATGCCTTGATGTTAGAGAGGAGCTTCTCACCTATGGTGTTGCTCCTCGAGCATCTCCATATTCCCAGGGGTATCCTGAATACCAGACTTGCCAAAAAATTTCTATCTGTAGAGAGCTTGCTTGTAGGCATCTTGCACCATGGCTCAGCCTGGCTGCAGCTCCCATCTATCCTTGAACTACATCATGTCCTCTCTGGTAAAGGCCCAGAACACATTTCCTGCCAGGGTCAGCCTTTTTTCCACAGAGACACAGGCTAGAGAAAGGCAGAAAGACACAGAGAAAAAGAAACAGAAGAGAAAAATTAACAGAATGTGTAGCTAGACAGCAGACTGAAGCATGGACAGCATCCATTTGAAGGATGTCAGAAACATTAGAGAGCTGTAATCTCACCATGTTTAGCCACGTGAGAGCTGCCTGCTGAGTGAAAGCCAAGCAGAGACCACTGGAGAGGGCTGGCCACAGTCAGCAACAAGTGAAAAGCCCCCCTAGGAGAACCAAAGCTCCCTGTGGCAAGTGTGAGCAAATAGCCAGAGTGTGGTGCTAATAATGGCAGGTTGTGGGTTTGATTTCAGCATGGGCCATTCAGTTAGGTATTGAACTAGATGATCTTCATGGCCCCCATCCAACTCAAAATATTCTGTGATTCTGTGAAATTTTCCTTAGTAGAAGGCTCTCCCTGTCTCTGCATTGCCCACTTAACAATTTTGTAGAGCTGTCCCCCTAACATGAGGTGAACCCCATCTGTCAGGGGTTTGGGTTAGACAGAAGTCCTCCAGCTGCACACCAAGGCAATATCCAGTTATTTGTAACTATTATCTCCCCCCCTGTCTGAGGCTGATGTGACAGACAGACAACCCAGGAGCTCCCCTCTGCACAGAGCTTACTGGTCCCTGTCACAACACAGCTGTTGTCACCATGAGACAGACAATGAAATTTATTAGCAGGTGCTTGCTTTGCACTGAGTGACTCATTTTTAGGCAGTAAAAACCACTCCACTTGCACCACTCAAGGGTGAATCAACCCAACAGAGATGTCAACGCAGCATTGCCATCCATGTCACCAGGTATTTCTCTTTGAAACCCATCCCAAACATTTAAATGAAAGGTGAAAGCTCTAAGCAAAGCTACAAGACACACACAAGGTAAAAATTAAAGCAGTATTGCCCTAAGTAATGAGGAGAGAGCAGCCAGGGTGCAGTGAACACCAGCAAGGAGGAGTAGAATGACCTGTGATGATCTGAATCTGGGTTCTAGCAAATCACTAGGAGATGGACACTGAGGTCACTGAAGATTAAATTTACTCCTGGCTTTAATCCTCTGTTTCTAAAGACTATGTGAAGCCTGCACAGCTGAAGCTGGGAAGACATCTGACAAATTTATTAAAGTGTACCCGCCTCAGTCCCAGTTTAATGAACAGATTATGCATTAGTTGGATGTATACATGGGGATACAGACCCATGTCTCTCCAAAACATACAACATTTCTCAGTTTTAATTGTGCCCTGATGTTATAACAGTCACAAAGAAACTGGGTAATTATTCATTAAACATGAGCTAATTCCATGTCCTGTTATAATTATTATTGTTTCCTGAAATTGTAACGTGTACAATAAGTTGCAAATTGAAATATTGCTTTTGGAAGGTTATTTATTGCTACCTTCAGCTGTAAACATTTATAACTGAAATTTATTAGTCCGTGGCCTCTTCATATAAATATTTTATGTTCAGCCTCAGGGATATGTATCTTCTCCTTTAAATGTCTCAGTCTTGGTGTCTGCACCAGCAAAATAATCACAGGAGAGAAAGTTTGCTGTCCTGTATTATTTGGCCACCGTGCTGATAACATAAGGCAGCATCATAAGTGCTGCACGTTACCTGCCCACAGGTACCTGCAGATGAGAGGCAGCAGCACACCTGCTGCATTACTCTGCTTTATAAACTCACTGGTTGTAGCAATGGAGTGTTCCCACATGCCACAGGACAGCTCAGAGTCAATGGAGATGTACAGAGAGAGATAAAGAGGTGCTTGTTCAATCCCAGCCTCTAAATTATAATAAATCATTTGGGTTTCCATGGCACCCGTCCAGAAAAAGTTGAGACTGAAGTAGTTGATCTGCTAACAAAAATAATGTGTGCTTTTCAATGATAAATTATAATTTCTACAGTGGAAGCATTGGAAGAAGGCCAGATCCATATCAATCCTTTCAAAATGATCTAATGGTTCTCCCAAGACTCCCAGTCCCTCCTCACACTACCAGGAAAAAGCACAGATCCTTTGGGAATGCAGTAGAGCTTCTTGATGAATATAATATGCGAAGGGTGAGCCAGCATGAGCCTGCCACGGAAAAAAACCAAACCCACCCTGTCCTAAATAATCAGAATTTACTGAAAGGAGAAACAAAGTAATGGCTGAGGGAGAGGCAGGAGATATCATGTGGGCTCTCAAAGGAGCTTTGTCTTAAGTGCCCCAGAAGAGTATTAACCCTTGGAGCGTGAGACGCGAGCGGGTGCTTTCAGCGCTCACTTTCAATTACCTGCACCCAGGGACTGCTGAGCCTGTTTGCCTCTGGATTCTCCATTTCCACAAATGGATAAACACACACACACGGGTGCCTCTTCCCATCTCTGCCTGCTCACAGCCTTTCCATCTGATGTTGTCTTCCTTCCAAACCATATCAACTGAGAATAAAACCGAGGGGAACCTGCCTGAAAGATTAGCACCAGCCCCTGGCTCTGCGGGTAAAACCCCCCATGCAGCAAAATGGGACTCAGCCCCTAAAAGCACAGAGTAGGGTTTTGGGGTTTTTTCCCCTCTTGTTTGATTAATGAGCAGTGGTTCACGACAGGGTTTTTAACAGCCCTTGAACACTCTGTGCTGCATCACTTACAGTATGTAAGGGGTATTGATCTCTCCAAGTTTATCCTTTTAAATGGTTCCCATCAAACGCCAGGAAGTCAACCAGTTTGTGCTGTGTAGCTCATCTACGAAACTTGGGATGGCACAATTGAGTCTACCCAGAAAATTTGTTGGTTTTTTTTATTTCCAGAGGGAACTCGAGTGTAGGCATTAAAACACGATGTTTGCATGCCCTTAAAGATCATTTTACAGCTGTACCAAGTGTCTCCAAACATTAAATATGTTTTATAAGTAGTTGGCTAACTAGCTGGGTGTGCTGTAAAGGCAGTAGTAAATAAAACAATAAGACACTAAATATCAGCTGTATTTCATTGTCAGGGATACTTTTTCAGCCATGCAACAATTCCCAAGGTTGAAAACCTTGATTTCTGTTTTTCATGCTACATTGTGACTAGAATTACACCTAATCTCTTCAAGTTATGCTGAATACCGCTCACCTGTTAATCTGATTACCCTCCCACAAAGAGCGAACATGACAAATGTTGAGCAGGTAGAAACATTTTCTGAGGCTGGAAATTCACTTCCCAAGCTTATACATTCAGTCATGTTGTTAAAGCTGATGCTACTTGGTTTAGGGTCCAGGTGACACAAGAAATCCATTTGTTGTCACTGTAGGTTTGCAAATACTGAGGTGGTTTTTGTATCGCCAAGCTCCCTGGACAGAGGCGATTTTCCTGGCAAAGTCTTCTCTCACAGCTGGAGAAATGTGTGCTTTCTTTAAGGAGAAGGGAAACTGGTGGAGTGCTGTGGGCAGCTGTTCAGGTTAACCCTTCCTGAAGTTTTCTGTTTATGGCACAGCAGAGGTCAGAAGCAGAGCTGTGTCTCCATCTCCATTCCTCTGAAACCTGCTGGCTTAAAACAAGTGCTCATAAGGAGTGGGAAGAAGAGAGAGAATAAAGCAAAGAGACCAAAAGAGAAAATATCACCTATGAGATAATTTTAATTATTAATTTAATTTTTTTTTGGTTTTCAATTTTCTGTAAGTATTTCAGGATTTTCCTTTTTATTACCACAGGCTAGGACGAGATCTTGGCAGGAAAAGGCACATTCCTGAGGGAGTGAAGGCTGTACTTCTGCCCATTGCAGTGCCTATCCTGTGGAACAGGACACCCAAATGGAACAAAGCCCATCAGCAGGAGGAGCCTTTCTGCCTCCTGCACCTACACTCAGCATCTCTTCTTCAGCCATCAGAGATACCTGCTGGTGAAAGACCCCAAGCCGTGGGGGAACCCCAACCCAACTGAACAAAACAACCCAAAAACATGGAGCAATTCTGGCAATCCTTCTACAGACAATTTTCCTTTAAAATCATAGAAACTTTGCATTTGGAACAAGACCTCTAAGATCATCATGAGCAACAGTTACGCCAGCACCAACCTGTGACCCAAAGTTCCACATCCCCCAAGTTCCTCCAGTGACTCCACCACTGCCCTGGACAGCCTGCTGCAGTGCTCAGCAGCCCTTTGGGAGAAGAAATATTTTCTAATACCTGATCCAAACCTCCCCTGCTGCAACCTGGGGCCGCCCCCTCATGTCCTGTTACTTGTCACATCAGAGAAGAGACTGACTCCCACCTCACTGCAGGCTCTTTTCAGGGAATTGTAGAGCTGTAGACTCACCTGGAGCCTCCTTTTCCCCGTGGTGAACACTCCCAGCTGCCTCTTCCCTTCCTCAACAGACTTGTAAGGGCTCCAGGCCCTCCCAAGTGGCTACCAGCTATTCCTGTTTCTTCCAGTACCAAATGTGTTCTTGCCTTCCCAACAGTGCAGAATTTGGTTCATTGTGGACTGCTGTTCAGATAAAAATATTGTTCAGCTGGATGTTTCCTAGAAGCCAGGAGGGTGAGCTGGGGCAGGACAGCAGGATGTGACACCTGGCCACAAAGTACCCACTGAACATGACACTGGTGTGGCTAAAAGGTGCCAGCTGTGCTGTCAGGATGAGCTCTGTGCTCCCAGGACGAGTCTGAGCTGCCCTGCCACCGAGCTCTGCTGCTGCTGAACCCCATCCATTAATCACAATGGGAGGATTCAAACCAGGACAGAGACATGACTGCAGAGTGCCTGGTATCTGAGATCAATATTAATTCTACAAACCTCTCCAGAAGAGTTCTTTAATTAATTGTTGGAATTAAAATCAAAATTGACCCCTTCAATTTATGGTTTGAAAATCATAATTTTCAGCCTGGAGAATGAAACAACACTTTCTATTTTTATTTATTTTTTTAGTAAGTATAAAAAAAAGGTACCCACACTCTGAATATATTCTAAACAGGATTCACAGCCAGCATCTCCCTTTAATCTAAAAGAGGATAAATATTTTTCCAATTCCAAGTCGATACAAAGAGTTTACCCAGCTCAGCTTACATCCCACATGCTCACACTGCTCCCCACTTTCTCCCTGCCAGCCTTGCTCCCCAAGGCCCCATTTCTCAGGCCACTTACAAAGCCTTGTCACCAATGTGGCTGGGAGCTCTGGCTGCAAGGAGCAGAAATGCCTGTGCACCACCACATCCACACCTGCCTTTATTTTCCCTTTCCTTACCAAAGCTTCAGAGGCAGCAGAACTGTGTTGCTCATCACCAAACCAAAAAAAATCCCTTTTTATGCACCTGTGTACCTGCCATAGCATCACACTTTTACAGAATTTATCCTCAAGGCAAGGAAGAGTGAAAAGAGGATTCAGGGGAGTTTGCTTAATGTCACTGACTTTGCTGTTTGTGGAGGCTGCAGTTTCCCGAGGTCTCAATGTGAGCTTTGCAATCCACCTGCTCCTTTTCCCCACATATTGTCCTGCATTCCCTTATGCCCATTATTTTGCTTTCAAATAATCGCTAAAAATCCCAAATCAGACAAAACTGCTTTGTTTCGCTCAGAGATGGCACACTGGGTGCACCCTCCCAGTATTTGACAGCTTGGTCCTTGCTTGGCATGTTTCTCTGGGAGTTCCTCCACCCAGCTGGGGATGCTCTCTGATGATGATGCCCTGTGCTGCAGACCCAAGAGTGGATTAAGGCATTGTATTCTCCATCCAGAGGAATTATCTGCAGATCCCCACTCAGCATGGCCAGGATGGTCTGTGAAGTGGTCCTGACAGCAAGAGCAGCCTCTGCTGGATCACACACTGACAGAAACACTAAACTTCCTTGCTGACCTTCAGAACCACGTGCAGGTACACCACAAGCTGTCTGCTTGCACACAAAAGCCCTCTAAAAAAACCCAGGATGAAACACAAAGCATTTTCCTCTGCAGGAGCATCACTTGGCAGAAAGATCATTGCAAATCAATCTCTTGGATTTCAAGGATATTATTCAGAATACACTTAGTTGCACTTCCTTGCTGCAATGAAGAGAATTAGTCAGCAAACAGACACATATTTTCCAGGACACATAACATTTCCCAGGGCTGCAGTGGGGATGTCAAGGGGACTCTGAAGCCACCTGAAGATGTGGGCAGGTAGAACCAAGTCACCTTGTGCCCAGGCACCACAAAGAAGGGCAGTGAGACTGGGCAGATATTAGGTCTGCATTTTAATGGCACACTCCCATGCAATTTTTTTTTTTTAAAAATTGATATCTCTGCACGGCATTCACAGATGAATACCATCTGGTGTGGTGATTTATTGCCCCTGAATTTCTCAAGTAACTTTTTTTTCTTTTTTCCTTTTCTCATCTTACCTTTTCCTTATATTTTCCCTCTACAAAAAAAATTTTCCATAGAACTGCAGTTGAGAGAGGCATTTCCTTAACACTTTATCATAGGATAAACAGCAACTTGTCACTAGACAGACCAACAAACAACTGAGGTATGGGATCTATTTAATATCTCTGCAACTCCA